TTCGGCTGGAAATGCAAGTACATTACCTTTTTTTACGGAACACGTCGCCATACATGTTCCAACCCCCAACCTAGAGGACCAGGAGACTGTGTTCGTCGGACCTCTACCCATGGACCAACCTGGTATGAGAGACTGTGAGCATCGTGCGGACACTCCCCAGTATAGCTCAATGGGTCGTCGAGGTACACAAACCGCCACACCACGGTAAGGTCCAGTCTCTTCGAGGCGGGGTAAGATAGATATGATGTAACCAACTGCTGTCCCCGCTCCAGTGCCTTAGTGTTGGAAAAATACTTGCCAACAAGGAACATAACAGCTTGCACGTGCAGTAAGGTCCAGTCTCTTCGAGGCGGGGTAGGTCAGATATGATGTAACCAACTGCTGTCCCCGCTCCAGTGCCTTAGTGTTGGAAAAATACTTGCCAACAAGGAACATAACAGCTTGATTGCACGTGCAAAAGGGCCTCGCGCTACTTAAAAGGCACTTCCGACATTAATCCAGGCTGCTTGATCCGCGTTTGGTGAACACCCATTGTCGTCGGTCGTGCTTCTGTGGCGTTGGGACGTTTAGAGTATGTCCAAGCACGAGTTAGAAGAGAGTCGGTGTTGTCGAGGATAAACAAGGTTTTTTTTTGTCTAAGAACGAGCGTGGATGAGATGAAATGTTCGAAACGAGTGTAAAGGGTGAGGATAATAATAAGTGCACAAAAATCATGACAGGCGTACCTGAACACTCGTCGGCCGTCTCTGAATTAATTGATTGATTGGCTGTTTGAATGTTCGATCGGAAACTTGCTTTTGTGGCCTGGATACTTGACGTCTTCCTTGCTATAATTTTGGTGAGGTCGAGTGTGTCAGTAGGTTTTGGGCATACTGAGGCTATTTTTAGGAATCTGACCTTCCTGAAAAGATATCATAAGAAAAAAGCGATTGCGAATAGATCTGGAGTTTGAGCAGTTTTATCGTTTCGTACTGAAGTGGAAATAGGATGAGGAAATCAGTGACGCAAGTGTTTTCTTCTGACTGTGGCATCTGTGTGGGGTAAGTAGAGTGGCCAATGCGAAGTTTAGACACTAAAACCACGAAGAATGTAAGGCTCTATGGCAAAAAACAAATATATGTTCACAAGTAGCGTTGAACGAAGTTAGTAGTGCCAACGCTGACCTTTCTGTCTGTATCTTTTTCATATTCTTCATGACGTTCGCTTATTAACGATGTTGTTCTTGGACGGAAACTCGTAGTTGTGCAAACAAAACTACATTTCCCAAATAATTCTGCTGCACGATTTCACATGTACGTCATATCCAAAAAGCTCAAAGCTTTACTGCAAAGCTAGTTGAAAGTGGACTCATACCTGATGCGTGTAAACAGCTCAGTGGATGTTACTGACAAATCGGTTTATCTAACATGTTGAATTGGTTCTAGTGGTTCAATCCTTAGCAAAGTTTGTCTACAAATAAGTGATCCTTGCTAACCTGTTTCATCTGCGGCGTCGTATATACCTCAAAGGTATGACTCACACTGCCACGGCGTACCCCGTACTGTTATGCCGCTTAAAAATTGGCTAGCGGGTACTGAAACCCCACTGTGGGTCGAGAACCTCGTTAGAAAAGTATACAGTGTGCATTATCTAGTTCAGCGTAGCAATTGAGCCTCAAGTGCGATTTTATCAATTACTCCGCATTTATTTCTAGGCGCACGTCTTCTGTGTACGGCATGTTGCCACCTTACGCACGGCTAAAATTATTTAACGATGTTATTTGTGAGATGTACAAAGAACGGATCATTATCGGAAGGAGTACTAGCGCAACACCCGTCGACGTCGATGTGGGCCAATCTTCTTTCGTTTCGCGTCAACATTTGGAACTGTTGTGGGAGACGAACATTTTGAAACTTCGTTGCAATGGCAAAAATGGTATTTTTGTCGACAGATCTTTTCGACCAGGTGATTCACTCCCCAGAACTCTTCCCTTCAGGTAGGCTACTATGCATGCATTGGGTCGCTTGAGTAGCGCTGTTTTACTTTACAGTTTGTAAGCTTTTTTTGATCTCCACCTTTCTCTGAGTTCATGAAAAATGTACCCTTGGTATATTACCCTCATCTTGCTATAGTCTGCATAAGACTTGCACTGGGCAGACTGGACTCATCAAAAGATGAATTAACAGAACTCATAGGTGATCTTGTCCCACTCGGAGGCACGTGGCGCTGGATAGTCCATTCTGACCTGGATTTGGTGCTGTTATGTTTTGTGTGTAGACAATTCACTTGAACGCGCTACCGTACGGAAAATAGGATGGCACTGTTCACCAGACACTTGAAACAACAGCTGTTTCCGCACCTCCCACAAGTGACTAGCTGCGTATTTTAGGGGATCCACTGGGGCTCAGTACGACTCTATTACAACAACAGTAATAATAGTAATGGTAATAATGACAGCAACTGATACTTATCAATTGGGTAATAATTAATAATATAATAATAAATCTAATGTTAATAATAGCTAATAATGACAGAATAATAACAGTAACGATGATAGTGGTGCCTTTTTAACTCATAATGATCATACTATCCGCCCCAGCAATCCAGGATACCGATGTAGGGAATCGGTCCTCATGGCAAATCTCTCTTTCACCAAGCTGTCGCCAGCTAAAACGAAAATGATAACCTGTTACAAAATAAGCCAATTATAAATGGCTACAGAACTTTCTACAGAATTCCAGAAAAAGACCCTTTCTGCTTTTTCTCGGAAATGTGACATGTGGGATGAAATTCCTGCCTTCTTAATCGCGTCAATGTAGTCTCTAAAGAAGTGTACCATCGTTAATTTGGCCTTCTGCATGAATCGGGATGCTTCAATACCCCTCGTCAACAGTTCACACAGGAGACATCTATCTTGGGTTCGATGTGAACATCATGTGACAGCGATTTCTGTAAAAACGGCGGAGAAGTTGGTTCGCGCTGTTTCTTCTTTAAAGCTTAGCGGTTAAAGCGGAAAGGTCCTGGCCAGAAGGTCCGTGGCCTGAGCTCCTGTATAGGTTTGAGCAACATGGTAGTGCCTCAAATTGGATGCCTTTTAAAGACTTATTTCTAGGGGTTGGTCTTGAGTCAAGTGAATTTCGCTTAAATATCCGTTAATTACCTGAAGGTCGCCCAAGCCTAGACAGGGGAAGTCGAATGGCGGAGGTCGGATTCGAACCACGGACCTTCCGGTCAGTAAATTCGCGCTCTAACCACCTGGGCCATCTCGCCCCCTATATATATAATATTCTATTTCATCTCCGCTATGGAGCGAAACACAATATATAGCTGGCCGCCCAGCCTACTTGCTACCATTTGTTAGTTCTTAGGTGTTACCTGGTGTACAGGCGGCTCGCTTTTTCGCGTAGAAATTTATTAGGTCTAATTACAAATTGGGGTTAATGGTCAAATATAACAATCTGGAGAAGATATAATACATTACATCTTTTGTCGCACATACGCCCATGTTCGCTGAAACCGTAGGTCCTCTGAGTTTTGATTGTGCCCATACGATGGGTACATCCATATGTTTACCTATTTGTCATTTTATAGCACTAAAGGTGAGTCGTGCAGCGGATTGGGCACGACGATGATGTCACCTCGTAAGCTAACTGCCCAACTCAGTTGGTAGAGCAACCACCGTCTGTGCAGCCTGGGCCACCATCGCCCTCCTAGTGTTTGAACTTTGTTCTTGGTCATTGTTGACACCTTGGGAAGAATCCATCGCACAGGGGCAATTCCAGTCGCTAGATCCTTTGTGTTACCCGTCATGTTTTGCCTCGCCTGCTACCATCTCTCGAATCCTAAAGGTTTTATCACCACTGGTCAAAGTTGTCACTTATATAACCAAAACGGTGGTACGTCGTGTTGATCATTCTAGTGATGAACTCGCATTGTTTGTGTTACGTTACTGGTGGTTTTTGTTGGCTTTACTGTGATCTTGGTATCAAGGTGCCTTATTGTATCCACCACTTCTTGGATCTAACCTAAAGTGGGCAACCATTATGGAAAACTACCGCATGTTCCACTTCACAATTAAGTCCAGTATTCACTTATGTGTTACTCTCCGTGATGTTGCACACAAACCGACGTTCTATGCCTGCCATTTTACATAGCCATCTGATGTACGCCTGGATAAGTTAATCGGCCTCCATCTTATTTCGCAAACCAACCACAGCAAGTGGCCTTGCGCTTCATACTAATTCAGTACTGTCTTCTTTCCTAACATTTCCACAGATGTGTACTGCGTTTCCCGAGCACGTCCATTTGCATCCAAGTAGAGCAATGTCGCCGTGTTAGTGGCCGGAGACGGCCTCGGTCTAGTTTACGTTTCCTGCGCAGATCATCTGCTGATGGCACGATGCTGTCCGGTAGCAGTGGTTCTGATACCGACACCCACTCAAGCACAAAACGTCGTCGCCAAACCACACTGCTAACAGATAATGAACAAGATTCATCGATTGAAGACATGTCTGATTCAGCAAATGATGGAAAGCAACAGTATAAGATAGACAAATCCATTCCATTACTGCAAACAGTGCAAGTTCAAAGTCGCACACGACGCAAGCAAGCGTTAGTACCAAAAGGTGTGATTCGGCTTCATCCCACCGATTCATCCACGTCAAACAAGGAACGCGATTGCCATGCAAACTCTGTATTGTAAGTAGGGTCTCTCCTACTCGTTCGTTTCGTTTCCCTTAAGTTTGTGTGCATGCTACTTCGTCTGCATCTTAATGATTTTTTGTTGAGAAGCCGTTTCATTTTGGATGCCGAAAGTATGTCTAGACGGCCTCAGAGTTTTTTAAAACGGCATATTTACTACTACTTGTGTCATTTGAACTGCTTAGGACTACTACGTAATAGTTTGGATAATAAAATTTGCAAACTTCTGCGACGCGAACTATCTCAAACGGACAGAAGTTTTTTGTATACTTATGTGAAGGACAGGGGAAAAACGAGGAAAGAAATAACAGATTCACAAAGTATCATCTGATGATCTCTTCAATTGTCTTCCAGCCATTCAGATAGCACCGGAAAGTGTGAATATAAATCTATCATCGGATAGCTTGAGTAAACCTTAATTCCTACTGCTTCACAAGGGGCTGGTTTTTAGTATTGAGCGAAAGTCTTTAAGAGTACAGGACAGCATACTGATAATCGTCCGTGCTCTGGGGAAGCTACAACTGGAGCTAGGTTAAGCATTTCAAGCAGTATGTAGCTGTAGAGGCCAAAACAATTGAACGTCGGCGCCACAGAGCATCAGACGCTTGAATTTCAGAAACCAGTCTATCCATATAACAAATGTCGGCAAAGCAAATACCACCGCATTACTAGACAGGGTTGACTGTGAAGCCGAGGTCTTGACCATTTCAACAATGGACCTTACGTATTCATAGCGGACAACAAATGTCTGCATCAGACTAATCAAAAGCATCCACGGTCGATCTTTCTGTTTTATCTTCTAAATCCCGAAAGGTTCGTGTTGATCTGTTGAGATTCCCTCTCGAACGACTTTGCTGCTGTCTGTTGTTCCTCACTATCAGAACGTCTGCTCAGCTGGGTTGGGCAGACCTAAACTTGGACCACTTAGCAAAGATCAGATAGCTGTTTTCCCTTCCTTGACATCTGGATTCCAGCATCCTCTTTCCAGGTTTTGTGGAGGTTTGAATTATGAGAAGAACTCTTTATCAAGATACAAGGTCGTCCAACTTCTATTTCTTTGATATACGTTTGGTAACGCAAATATTTGAAAGCTTACGCTATAGCTTATTCGAAGGGATTAGGTAATCTTGACTCATCACAATATAGTGTATGCTTATCATCTTTGCACTTAGGAGACAGACCTCATAGTTTTTTGTTTAATGCTATCGCTGAAGTTGGCGGTATCGTGGTCAAATGTAGTCTATTTATCCATTTGCGAGTTTGCGAATGGTCCCTTCCGGCCATAAACATTTCCAATTCGTAATTCGAATCGAACAAGCTGCAGAGCATACGTTATTATGCTTAGCGGCATTTATGAAAAGCGAATTTTCGAAATCTCCAACAGTTTTTTTTGCGTGTTTCAAATTTTGGGCATGTTCTTGTGCTTCTATTACAAAGGTGATTATTGAAGGTAGCATCAATCTTGAATTTTGCTGTTTTCGTAGAAGTGGGAGTTGCTTAACCTAGAGAAACCACTTGTCCTTCGGAACCTCGCATATTTGGAGCCTTGAAGGGGTGATCTCGGGCCGTTGGCAACTTTTTAGGGCATATTTAGTCAAAATTCTTCCACGAAGGAAGATCAACACGATCCACGATCTGATCAACAAATCGTGCTGTTTGGCACGCAGTAGTTCATCTTTATTTTCCTGAATAGCTGGGTTGCACGTGCAAGGGGCCGATTACAGGCAGTCCGAACCAAAAGCTTCTTTGGTGCACAAGGCAAACTACTCACAAGGTTGCTGAAAACTCTTCGACAGCCCACGACCGGTTTCGCCCTTCTTGGGGCTCATCAGGTAGGCGCAGTCCCCGAGTTTCCGTCAACCTTATATTCTACTTGGATCCAAATTGGTGCAGTTGTGTGGTTTAATACACTCACATGCACTAACGTTTGTGTTGTGGCGATAAGGTGGTGGCAAGCCCATTGCCCTGCAGATTAATCGGGCATTCTGTTGCCATTGGCGACGCTCGGATCAGGATTAGTTCATGTCGTTAGGCTCATGTGATTTATGGTAGTGTTTGGCGCAGTCCCCGAGTTTCCGTCAACCTTATATTCTACTTGGATCCAAATTGGTGCAGTTGTGTGGTTTAATACACTCACATGCACTAACGTTTGTGTTGTGGCGATAAGGTGGTGGCAAGCCCATTGCCCTGCAGATTAATCGGGCATTCTGTTGCCATTGGCGACGCTCGGATCAGGATTAGTTCATGTCGTTAGCCTCATGTGATTTATCGGTAGTGTTTGAGAGTCGCCCAAGTGGTCCGTGTGGTTTCCGTCCGCCGCTAACACAGTCGGTTGTCCTGGTTCCCATAGAGATCGTTTTGACATAGGCACTCGTCTCCATTTAGGCGGTCTTTTGTCAAAGTAGAGTCTAGTTTCCTCGACTTCCCTCTCTTCTGGCGTTGGCTACTCATCACTAGTTTGCGCACAAGTGACCATTATTCCCATATCAGCCTGTTGTTTCTCCTACACTGGGCGCTGTCAAGTGCAGTGATGAAGAATTTTCCGTCTCTTACAAAAACATGTATTGACCGAGAGAGTGAAATTTCGTGCTAGGTATTCTGGTCTATGGTGAAAGCAGATTGACTAAAGAGAAAATTCAAGTTGGATAAGGATGACTGATGACCAAGATTACTACATTTTTCACGGGGGTAAGGAGCGGGTGTATGGTTGTTACCAATGGATGGAACTCAAAAGAATCCTCTTCACAGAAGTGATATACTACAAATGAGACCGATCTTCGTACTCGCATGTTCGTCCTCCATCTTCTGAACTGTAATGAAAAGTAATCATTTTGTTGGAAGAACAAATGGGGTATTGAAAGGAAGTAGTCAAAGTGGTTCTTCCTTTGTGATGAAAAGCTCAAATCTGTGTGAATCGGGTTACCTGTTTGATCACTTCCAACCAACTGTGTGGCTTTATGAAAGAACCTGTCGGGCAGAGTTCTTCAAGATTCCATTGATAGCAGACCAAATCTTGCTTGCACGAAGAATTACATGTAGCTATCCAAAATATTTTCAGTACATCATGCTTGAACAAGCTTGAACCATACCAGCAAAACTTAAATCGTATGTCGACCGGCTACATGTCGTGTATCACAGCACATCGATTAGATGATAGAAAAACTACCGTTTTTTTAACACCAACCGTATCCACTCACCAAATAACGGAATCATTTCAGTAGGGAAGTTCACCCACCACAGAAAACTCGTGTTTCGTAGCATAGGATTGAAACAGACGATGTTAGGAGCTCATGTAGAGAGGGAAACATGTGGAGGTACATATGACATCTGAGATCAGTCCACCTGAATTCTACAATGGCTTCTGTCTGCATGGGGTTGTGTGTGATGGCCATTGGTTGGGTTTGAAACGTGTGTACTTTCGCCAAACCAGCCAGTATCTGATGTACGGAAGTAGTTTGAAACATTTCGAAATTGCATGATATCTGAATCGTCTGCGGCACTCAGCAGAAATTCTTTGATATTCATCGTCATTAAACTGGACAATCTATTTTATAGTACCAGAAAATTGCCTTTAATAATCGTGTGGTGCAGCTGGTTCCACATTGTTAAAATGAAACCGATAGAAGCTTTCAAATTCGTTGACACACTGAACAGTTGTACTAGAAAGTAAATTGAATATTCTGTGTCTTGCAGTATGGACTGCAGGACATCCGGTAACTATTTTTTGCCACAAAATGTTTCATTGATTTTCGTTTTTGTTTGAGATAAAAAAGAGGTCGCTTCTGAGACAAGACGACTCTCGTTTATCGCCCTCTTTTCAGCTTTCCAGAGGGTAACAGCTGTCTCAATGGGGTAGTGTAAACTAGAATGTACGCTGGCTTCGACATGAGTATGGTTTAGACAGGTTTCTTACGCGTATTGTAGCCAAGCTGTTACAAAGGAACCAATTCGTTCTCGCGTAGGTGACAGGTGAATGTGTTGAAATCACGACCCTCTTGGCGAGAAATTCTCGGAATACACTTTAATGTAGGTGTCACATTCCACAGTCAGATCAAGCTTGTATTAGGCGTGACACAATTGACAAAAAGCTTTTTTGCGCGTGGGATTTCGCCGAACGCAGCAGTGTACTTTCCCACATCTATCAAGTAATTAGGATTTTCCATACTTTTAAGGGTGACTTGAGTTATCTTCGCGTGGTTAAAAGGTCATTAGAAGATATTCTGAAAAGTGCTGATCAAAACCTTTGTAACGTAAGTCACCTTTTACAGATGCATAAAACACCTGCGTTAGGCTACCTGTTTGATCTCGGTTTTTATGACCTGCTGCTCGCCACTTTTCCGTTTTTGGCACCGACCAACTGCATCAAAATCAAAATTAGGGGTAAACACGCTCTGATTCGTGTTGTTTGCGCACTAGAATCAGGTTACGAACCTCATTTCGTAAGCACACAACTTCATGTGCTTCTCTCTCCCTGGGTTCTGAGCCGTTAAAGCAGAATTATGAATTCACTGCTCTTGGGGAGGTTTCCTATTATGGGCGGCGCAGATCCATGTTTACTCAATGTGTACTTAGAGCAGCCGAGTGGATATCCTGCTTGTCCTTATACAACAGTCCTCTTGTGTGTGGCAAAATTAACTAGTCGGGTGATGCAGTTTCTTTGTGGATTACTTTATGCGTCCAGCTTTGGTTAATAGACTGTTTTTGGGAGCATCTCTCTTGGAGGTGCTCTTATTGGAAAGGCTCTCCCTTATCAACTCATCCCCATATGCTCAGTTGAAAATGCTACTGTCGGAATTCGTGAAAATTGTGATTATTGCATGTTATTTCCGACTGTCTCCACAGATCTGAAAATGTTCGAACGGATACTGTCTCAGACATTCCAATCTCATGTTCTGGTCAAGTACCTGTCCAACAAAGTTATCCTACCGGAATGAACTGCGCACTAAGATCTCCACTGGATCACACATCTCCGGTCTCGGTTGCCATCACCTCATCGACAACAACATGCTCATTCCCAACCAGGCATTTCGTTCTCACCGCTGTCCCGGTTTACTCACCTCAGTCTAAGGTCACCGCGGTGCTTCGCCTGACCGATCTGGAACGAGGTGATCGGAATAACAAGCCACCCTACTCATACGCTCAACTGATTGCTCAGGCCATTGCGAGCCAACCGGATCGACAAATCACACTGAGTGGCATTTATGACTACATTAGTCAAAACTATCCATACTACCATACACAGGATAAAGGCTGGCAAAACTCTGTGAGACACAACTTGTCATTGAATCGTCATTTCATCAAGGTGAGTTTCTGGACAAAATAGCTCGAATTCACGTGGAAACACGTCCTACAGTCGAGTTGGATTGGGCCATTATATCATTAAGAAAAATAGGCCTATAGCCATGAACTGTTGAAGGGAACAATCTTGACCATGGCCCAACTCAGATGCTTAAAAATACTGTTCATTTCCAGGATGTTCTCAGTCTCTGGCATTCACTGGGGCCATTGCACAAGCCTTCCATGTTAAATATCAACAAACTGGTGTAACGGCGATCAGGTGTAAATAACGTTACTCTTGGTTGCATCAAATATCACTGTATGAAACGTCGGCCTAAATTTTTCAGTATTAGTAATGATTAGCACGTGTTCTAGAAGGAAACTACTAGCCCCAACAATAATCCTCATTTGATTCGCTTCTCCTCATACATCTCCTCATAAGAAAATCGGTGCACTCCTTCTTAAATGAGAAGAGACCATCAACCATCATCGACCCAGAATTCGCGTAAACACTACACTTCTTAGGTTGCGGGAGCAGTCACTTGTGGGACGAAGAAAAAGGTCAGACTTTCACTGCTACAATTTACTCTAAAACAAATACTACGTCCTGCTCAGTGCGTTTTTTTAACGCCCCTTTGTTTCTCTCATTGTTTGTCCGACTATTCAGATCCCTCGTCCCCAAGAAGACCACGGAAAAGGATGCTTCTGGCGCATTGATCCCCTGTTCGAGTCAAAGCTACTCAGTATGGCGTTTCAGAAACGACGTTCTCGCGGGTATGAAGGAGTGTTCATTCCACCAACAAGTGGAGCGCATACTTGGCGACTACCTTCACTCCGCCGTTCGGGTGATACCAGGACTGCGGGTTCTAACGTGGTGCAGGTCGATTCGAACGGTGTTGTTACATCACATTCGTCTTTAATACCCTCATCGACTCATACATTTACTTCGTGCACGGATGGTGTTACGCTTGGCCACGTGGCTCATCCAACGACACCATCTCTGGCTCTCACCAAAACAACGGAAACCAATCCCAGTTAGTAATATCCTTTCTTTCATAATTGTTGCCATAATCTTCTCCCACTGTCCTAGTTTGAATGTTTAAGATAGGTATGATAACCTTGGTACGCTATTATACAACATCAGAATCCGTAGCCAAATGCCTGATTTGATCCATCTACCCTTGAGCGTAGATAGCCTTCATGTATATAATCCTTGACTGTCTACTCTCTCCTTGATCTATCTATCCAGCTATGACCTCCTTCCCTCGTCCATCCAACCCTACAAAGTCAGTATCGGGTGCATTTGGTCCGATTGCGTTACAACCCACCCCGAAGAAGCTCCAGACCAAGCCACCCCGCTTGATTGTTTGCTATTCAAACAACACGACGCAATCACCGCAGATAAATATACTTCCGAAGGCAGTAGAAACCACTTAACTGCATCCACTTGATTCCAATTCCGGTGGTTGCAGACCTTCTGGCTGTGTTCAGCACTGCATTCCCATATCTTTCTAGTACTGTTATTTTATTGTCTCGCTGTTTTACCTTTCTTCATTGTTCAGCTGGTTGTTCCTACCCTCCCCCCACCTACTACGCTTTCGTAACATATCACTCACATATCGAGTGCCTTGCTCCACTCAGCCTGTTATTGGTATTTTCATCCTCTTGGTTACGCACCACTACCACCCAACCTCTACATATCTGGGCAGTTAATCTCTACTCAAGGCTATGTGTATGGATGAACAGAAACCAATCGTATTCATGGTTGAAAGGTCGTTTGCATCCTGTTGACCAAACGACAGTTCCTTCACCATACACTCATTGCATCATACTTTTGTTACAGCTGATTTTGATCACACGTTTGACGGTCTTACTTGGTTTTTTAAACTCTCCTTATTTTCCGCTCCTTCGGGTCTGTGCATATCAACATAGGTGTCTGATTGTAATCAATACTCGTTTTTTGTTACTTATTCCGGTTGGGACCCATACTGAAACGGGAAAGGGCACCATGTCAACTTGTGGCGGGGTCCTAGCCTACATTGCCTAGTCAGCGTGAGAGATTTGACTGTATTTTATGCGTGAATCTTTTTATACGAAACGACGTTGTTTCTACACTTTGGCTGAGCGGACGAGGTTGGTAGGTCATACTTTGTAGGGGTCAGCAGCCTAGTTCACGCGACTGGCATGCAGTCGCACTGGTGAGGATGTCGTTCTGTAGAACGAGTCACAAGGAAACCAAAGATTGTGAATTGCTTTTGCCTGCAAAGGATCATGGGCTGGTGGCTCGGAGGATACAACTGAGAGCTCCTAGTAGAAGAGCCCAGTGCGCGAGGCACGGATTATATCTTGAGGATGGTAGTGCGATCTGTTCGGTGATTTTGAACTGTCGTCGACGCCTCAAACGTAACATACAAGGAAAGGGTGTCTACAGTCCGAGGCCCCCTATAAGAGTGATGAATATCAAATTGGTTAAAAGCTGGAAGGAACCTATGAATCACAAAATTACTCCAACACACAGAAAAAAAGTAACGCGTTAGTAAAGCCCAATGGTAGAGAATCATATGTCTGAACAGATCAATGCCAACCCTAAACTTGAAAGTTCCAGAAACAGGATTTGAAAAAAGGTGAGCGAAAACTCCAAAGGATCTTGGAGAAATAAGCATGGAAATAATTGCCTGAAATTGAGGACCTAGAGCTTGGCACCGATAAGTAGATGAGCGTAGGCGAGTCTCCCGATTGAACGATTATAGGAGTGGGGGCGCCTTATGGTAGTGTTAATAACGACGAATTGGTAAGACTCAGACAGCATATCGACGATGTTGGAAAATTAATAGTCTATGAGGGGGAGTATCATCCACTAGTATTCAATAATGGGGCGGACCTGGGAGGAGGGCAACTATATACGGGGTAAAGACCGAGTTTCTGCAGTCTCGGGTCACTCGAAATGAATAAAAAATGAAGCGGACAGTTGGGTGGTTGAGAGAGTTGTTTAAAACCAATAAGTACTAGGGACTCAGCGGAAGGAGAGACAAGTATTGATAAATTTGCTAGCTCCACTCAATGAGCCCAAAAAGAAACAACTGTTAGGTTACCGTTCAGTGTACTGTTCCAATGCATGTGATCGCTAATTCGAGATAAGGCAGGTCTGTGATAAGGCTTATTGGTGTGAGGGGTTGTATGATCTGTCAAAGCCCGGATTCAACCGGGAACAGAGGAGATCATTGATAAACAGAATGAACAATGCAGGGAAAAGGACAGAACTTCGGAGTTCCGAGAGAGGGCGCCTTTGAACTGCATTTGAATCCATCGGTTTGTCCACAATTTCCTATTCCAGTTCCACGGGTCAGGATTCAGTCCGTTAATAGACGGTCGTCGTACCATGCTCGATCGATAATCTCCGAAGCAACAAAGCGTACCAATTCAGCTTAACCGGACGAGTTCACACGCCAACAGGTCACAAGTACGATGGTGTCGGGCCTTACATAGGTGTTATTTCAGAGAGCTGCGGTGTTCCAGATCACGTATGAGTGACTCCAAAACTTTGAACGACATGATTGATACGGATGGAGCGGGAGATGGGAATAGGGAATACGTGGGAGCGCTTTACTCAGCGGACGGAGCTACACCGGAAGAGGATGTACAAAATTGGAGCACATACACAGAATGAAATAAGGGTCTACTGACTGGACCGGGAGATTTGGGAGGCAACGGCAGGCGAACATTAGCGGCTGAAGTGGTGGGTAGTGGAGTATAGTTTGGAGCTGAGAGATAGATAAAAGTTGGTAAAGAAATGGAATTCGAAGCAAAAGGCCGGGCAATTACTCTCGCATTTTGTTCGCTGAGTAATTTGAGGACTGGGGATAGGAATACTGGAATTGTAGGATGACTGAATTATAGAAGACATTCGGCAGGTGTATTGAACAAATGGTCAACTTTGTCGGTGATCTCAGTATGGCAGTCTTGAGTAACAAAAAAGTCCGAACGAGGTGAATGGGGGGTAGTAGGGACACCGGTGCTTAACCATTCAGTTATTTCATGTAACAATACTGGAACACATGGGATTACGTCATTCCGAAAATGAGTTCGGAAGGTATTAACTGGTGCACTCCACCATCAAGGACTCCCGTCAAATACAACGAATGTCAGTTTGTTAGAGATTCAGGAATGGAGCCGAGAACTGTTGAGTGCCGTCCAGATCAGCAAATGACTAACGTCAAAAATACGGCGATAAGAAGTGTGATGACCGATGGGAATATACTGGGGAGAGGTGGGCTGGCTTGACTGGTTCTGGGACAACGGGAACAGAGGGAACAATTGGATATGATAAGGGTTGGGTTAGGACGAGGTCTGCGGCCCATAGTCAGTGCAAAGTTGCAGCAGGCAAAGGGGGAATTTCGGATGAAAAATTATTGGTATCAAAAGTTATGGGCTCATGGCCGGATGAGTCCGCCTGCGATGAGAAATTTAGTCATGGGACTTGAGGGCACTGAAATGGCCACGATACAAAGTTCGGCAGTGGGGTCGGACTGTAGGATGTGTTCGCAGTTGAAATTCAAGAGAGGAAAGTTGAGCAGCATCGTTATCAATGGGTGATCGAAGTGCACAGAAGAAATGCCTGCTAATCTGACGCAGAGCAATTTAGGGCCGAAAACACCAAAAATTGAGTGATTAGAACTTGAGAGAGGGTAGTGGAGGGACACAGAGCAATGACTGTAGACGCAATCGGAGGCGGTGATGTAAGAAGTAACCCAGGAGAATGTGCGAGGTCACCGCTGCCGAGAATAAATTTTTCTATGGGCCGGGTTGATATTACTATTCCAAAGACGGTTGTTGCAGAGTGCGGCTTTGAATTTGTAAGGAGAGCAGCGAGAGTCAATCGAGTTGCGTATATTCACGTTTGACGGGTGAGAGATCAACGGCCTAACACAGGGGCTTACAGTGCGGCCATATACTAAACGGGCGGTGTTGGCGGCATTTGGTGGGGCTGTCCTTTCCTCTTCATATTATTATGCGGTTTAGAAAGCTGACCGCAGCAAGCTTAGGACGTTAAATGGCTTTCGGTGTTTGCCCATCGATGTCTTCGGAGCATTGCCCAAGTCTGGTGAGAACACCGGACCATTGCTGCTTAAGTATGTCAAATGGTTTTCGGAAGAAATAACTCTTCCACGATAGATAATCTGACCACACTACGTGGGTTGCGCTGGCTCGGTCACCTACTCAATGTGCCAGTCGACCGTCTTCCTCGGCAAGTTCTTTCCGCACTACCAAGCGAGAGATGGAAATGAGCCAGGGGAGGTCAAACAATGACTTGGCAACGAAGAATGAGAGCCAGTACCAGTAAACCCAGCTGCACTGTCGGTTGGCGTCTCCATGGATGAGGATCCCGAGACGGGATTAGACAGTGACAGGCACGGCCCAACCGAGCTATCAATGAGGCGTACACACCCACACGGTTACTTTCAAGGTACAGCCACCTCTCACGACATTCTCAGTGAAACATCCACTGGCACCTCCGTATTGACACATCAGTTATATTAGTTACCGCCTGCAATGTATGGCTATCTATCCCATCTGAAATCATCAGTGAACGAAACTCTGGTAGCTGTAACCACTGTATGACAAGTACGAGGTTCTTATGGCTGAGGATGATGATTTACTCAGCAGTGGTATTTCCACGGACGATAAACCAGCCGTGCTGTCACACCAATCGTCTCGCGTTTCATATAATTTGCTGATGCTGTGTCTATATTGTGGTGCAGTCAGACTCATCATTTCAATTGTTCACATTATGCTACGATAACCAGAGCGAGGTGTTCGAAAAATAATTGTTCACATTATGCTACGATAACCAGAACGGTGTTCGAAAAAATTAGGCGGTTTGTATCGGATCTCCGGAGCTTGATGCGATGGTGTTGTTTAGCCCACGTTATAGCTCTTGATGAACCAAATTTTTTTTCCTGGTGCAGCACAGCGCATCTTTGCTCTTGAGATATAGGTCCAGAAGCTCAAACAGGCGAACAAGGGTTGTGACTACTCTACCAGACGAACCCGAGAGATCACTTCGGACCAAGCAAATATGGTCACGCCTGAGCCATGTGTTATTAACCCGATGATCTAGCGACTGCCCTGGTGGTACCTGGGATCGCTCGTTCACGGAGAACCACGAACGCCATAAATCCGTCGGATGTTTCTTTTTACTTACAGGAAGTTGCAGGTTTGTTTTTGAAGTAGAATTCACACAGCTAATTTGAACATAATCTGATGCGAGTCGTCTGATTGAGGACTTTCTAACATGCATGATATGCCGGGCAAAGTTAATGACTTAACATGGCTCGGTCATCATGATAATTACTTCATATCATGTCGCTATTCGAAGAGATGCTGAAAAGCGCTGGATCACGAAGGCACCAGAATGTCACAACAGCTATGATGTTATGGAACATGCAGTTGGCCTACCGCTGCGACCGATGTTGTGTCAGAATTAAACCAGCCGAAAGTTTCTGGTGATCTAGCCAGAACAAATGACCGATGACGAATGCTTGATATGTCAATGGTCGACAGGTAATCAACACGAATATCACCTCCATGTTGGGTGTACTAATGGATGGTAAGAAAGACTTCCGTTCGACATCAGCAGAGCCAGGCGGAATACGATATTCCAGTCATCCAACGGCACACATCAAGAATAGTAGACAAGCCAGCACGTAGGTTACAATGCTATTTTCACCTTTGGAAATAACCCCTAAAGCACACAGGACTTCTCACTTTTATGAAAGCTTTGGCCGAAGCATGCGACACAGCGATAAACGAGTTCTTGGTCGTTCGATTTTCGAAAACCAAAAGATAAGCCAAATGCTTGGTAAAAACTCACCCGTTTCAATCTATGAGAGGTTAATTACCGACAGTTGTTAATTTCATCTTCCCTGACTCGATCG